TGGCTTGGGGTAGGAATCTCAGAATTAACCAAACGTGGAAAGAATATACTTCTCCCCGTAGCACGTCTCATTCAGTTTTAACAATTTTGGCGTAAAATTAAAAAAAAAATATAATGAAAATGCCTATTTTTCACACGAAATTACGTGACAACTACTCGTATTTTCGAAAAAATTGTACTCGAGTACTGACATTTTAAGATGTCGCTAAACAATAGACATTCAATAGACAGGGCACAGACATTCTCGTTCTAGTATGATTTTGTTTCCAAAATGGATATTCTCCGGTCGATCTGGCTCGACTTGAAGCTTTGCGATTTTGAAAATCATTCTTTAAAATTCGGGGGTACTTTACATGAAGCCCCTGGGACATTTTCAAAATGGCTCCAAATTGCTTGTAAGAATAGAGTACAATACACTTATGATAGCATAGGTCCAGTTTTCACTGTTAACTCTGAAGTTTTTAAAAATTCAAGTCTGAATTTTTTCCCTGCTTATTCCTAATATTACACAATTGAAGATAGAGATATTTCCTTCAAGTAATTTTTTTCTCCATAGATAGTTCTTTCATTAAGGGCATGTAAATTTTGTTGTTTTTTTATTTTTTATTTTGGTATTTTTCACGTCATTGTTGCTTGCAATAAGTAAAATATTAAAAAATTACAAAAACAAGATTTTGTCGAAAAAGGTTCTAAATTTTTTCTTTAAAATATTGGTAGGAGTAGTGCAAAGTGTACTCTATCCATAAAAAGTATTTTCTTTGACAAAACGCATTTTCTTTAAATTTTGTTAAGCAAAAGTGTTAAATACACTTATAAGAATGACATCTATGTCCTCCTTATGACTATGACATTCTTATGACTATGCCATCCTTATGACTATGCCATCCTTAGACCTATAGGCTTTTTCACTGTCAACACTTGGTTCTCACTGTTAACTCTGAAATTTTCGAAAGAACCCTTTGAAGCCAGTTTTAGTATTTTCATTACCTTTAAAACAAAGTTAAAAATAAAATGAAAGATTAGTACCACTTTAAAAATGAAACAAGTGGTGCTACAGAATAGAACAAACTTTCCCGTATTAGTTTTCAATTGTCTTTGGTCTCGGCTAGCTATTCGAACTTGCCACATACGTTTGCCTGCTAACATCTATTGCCGCCCAAAGAACATTTTTTTGAAATTTTCACAATTATCAGTTTTGTAATATTAGAAACGGAAATATTATTTTAAGGATATTAAAGAACAATAAAACTTCGTCCTAAATGGCATTTTTTTAAATTAAAAGGTTTTTTTAAAAAACTGGTGTTTAAGGTGTACTGCAAATTCGAATTTTGAAGCTCTTTTTCGCAGAAAATTTTTGTTTTTGAAAAACTCATTCGAAATACATTAACTCGAAAATACAATACAATACAAATTGCTGGAAATGTGCATATTAAGGACGTGAGAGATCTTTCAAAGAAATTACATTTGTGTAACTTTTGAAAAAAAGTACACCGAAATGAACTTTACGTCATATTACGGAGCACAATAAGCACTACCCATTCGAAAAGTTAGAAAAAAAATGGAGACGGTGTTTGAGAAAATGGCTTTTGAGCATTTCTAAAAATGTGGAATTTTGAGTTAGATTTCACAGCAAACTGTCGAGTTCTTGACAAACTTTATTTGACATTATTTCAAGCACATGTATTCATAAATAGAATGGGAAAATATAAAGGTGAGAGTTCCGATTTTCAGGTTTAACTCTGAATTTTCGAAAATTTCAAAATTTGTTGGGCGTCCTCTTACATCTACAAAACTAAAGATAGAGATTTTTCCTTCCAACAAAATTTGTTCTCCATAGTGAGATCTTTCATTACGGTCATGTGCATTTTGTTTTTTTCAAAATTTTAGTAGTCTGCGTGCAATAAGTGCAATTTTACAAAATTATTAAAATAAGATTTTCTCAGAAACGGCTCTAAACTTTTTATTTAAACTTTTAGCAGGACTGTTGCTAAATCCACTCTATAAGATGACAAATACCGTATTGTTCTATTATTTTCTTTTTTAAAAAATTACAAAAATGTATTGTAAATTATATCACATAAAGTTTCTCGAAAACTCTACCATTTTCAGAGAAAACTAGCTCAAATTTCCGCATTTTCAGAAACGCTCAAAAGCCGTTTTCTTAAAAACGGGTCCAAATTTTTTCTTCAAACATTTCGGACGGATAGTGCTTATTACACTCTTTAATATAACGCAATGATCATTTCGGTTCATTTGTTTTTTAGAAAATACACAAATGTAAATTTTTCGAAAGACCTCTCACGCCGTTGATATGCATATTTCCAGCAATTTGTAAACACTTATCGTATTTGTGAATTAAAGTACTTACAATGACTTCAAAATAAGTTTTTCGAAAACTCAAAAAAATTATGTGAAAAAACTTCAACTTACGAATTTACAGTAACGCTTAAACGCCCGTTTTTTAAAAACAGCTCCAATTTTATTACAAGCCATTTAAGTAGAAGTTTTACTCTTCTTTAATAATCTTAAAATAATATTTCCGGTCTACAATATTAATAAACCGAAAAATTAAGAAAATGTCAAAAAAAAGTGCTTTGGGCGGCGATAGATGGCAGCTGGCAAAAAGAGTATGTGGCAAGCCAAGACCAAAGGAAATAGAAAACTAATACGGGAAAATCTGTGCCGTTCTGTAGCAGCATTAGTTTTATAATATCATTCAGAATATTAGTAATGTTTTAAAGCATTATTGTGAATGTACTGTAGTTGTCGAAGGGTGTTGCCAAAAACAAATTAACTCGGAATTAGTACGAAATTTCATTTTAATTTACCGTATATTTATGGATTTACGAAGTAATCTACGTAGTGTAGGAAAAGTTATGTAATGCTGCGCGAAAAAAACGTGGATTTTCGGCAGAAATAATTCATTGCAAGGCCCTGATAACGAAAAAGTGGACAAATCCAGTTGCTAAATTAAGAAAAATATCCTCTAACACGTGGTGTAGCCACAATCCCCGTTTCGTGGGTCCTTAATACCGAAAAGCCAAACGACAGTAAAACGACCGATGTACACGTAAGCTTCAGCGGCTCGAATCCATAAAGGCTGTCACTCGTCACTGCCCTGAGGAAGCATGCAACATATCACTGACATGGTGGTTAACGTTTCGGCCAGCGTACGTCAGCCGCCATGACAGTGACGCGGCTCGTCCCGTATAGCCTAGAGAATACGGTAAAACGTCCGTCCGTCCGTCCGTCCGTGAATACCGATAGCGCCTAAACCGTACGTTCGATATTTTCCAAAATGGATATATCCCAGCCGATATGGCTCCACTGAAGGCGCCCCGATTTTGATCAACTTTCTTCAAAATTTAGAGATACTTTACACAAAGCATCCTGGACATTTTCAAAATTTTCTCGAAAGTCTCAATTATTTTCTTTAAATTTCTTGTACGAATAGAATAAAATACATTTATAAAGGTGTCATAGGTCCGATTATCCTCGTGTAAGTCAGAATTTTTGGAAATTGCAGTAGTTTGAATTTTTTTGCGTCTTCTTACAACTACAAAATTAAAAATGAATATTTTTTTTGAAATAAAAATTGTTCTCCATAGCGAATGTTTTCATTAAGGCCACGTAATTTGTTTTAAAAATTTTAGTAGTTTTCGCTCAAAAACTAGATTTTCTCAAAAAGGCTCCAATTTTTTCTTTAAACGTTTGGTAGGGACAGTACTAAATGTACTCTATACGATGACATAAACGCCATATAGCTCAATTCTTTTTTCCTTCAAAAATTACAAGAATGTAATTTTTTGTCTCTCACGTTGTTAATATTCACATTAAGGGCAATTTTGTTCACATTAACTTAATAATGTGACATACGTGATTTAAATAATTTCAGATAAAGTTTCTTGAAAACACAACCGTTTTCTGTTAAAATTAGATCAAATTCCGCACTTTCATAGAGGTGTTCTTTTTTTTTAATTACATTTTACATCACAAAATTTATTTGTAAGATCTCTAATACTGTTAATATGCAATTTCCAGCAAGTTTTAATCCTATGGTAATTGTGAGTTAAAATACTTCAAATAACTTCAAATCAAATTTTGTCAAAAACTCGAACATATTCTGTCAAAAATAGCTTAAAATGTCATATTTACAGTAGGGGCTTTAGTGCCATTTTCTAAAAACACAGCACCAAATTTTTCAAAGAAAATTGCCATTTAGGACAAGTTTTTACTGTTTTTTAATATTCTTAAAATGATAACTTCTGTTCTACTAGGAAGAAACCAAGAAATTAAGAAAATGTCAAAGAAATGTACTGATGGTGATAAATGGCAGCTGACAAGAGCATGGGGAAGTCTGAATAGCAAGCCAAGACCAAAGGAAATAGAAAACCAATACAGGAAAGTCTATGCCATTCTGTGGCACCACTTGTTTTATTTGTTTTTACTCAAGTTGTAAGTGCATAAGGTTACAGCTAATTCTGTTTTATGTCTGTTTTCTAAGTAATCATGCCCAAAGAAACATTCTACATAAATGTTTTCACACACTGGGAATCATAGAACATTTTTAGAATAATTTTACATCTTTTTAAAAGGGGCTTTACAGGGTAACTTTCCAGTTCATCTCAAGAGCTGAAACTTTAATTAAGACTAAAAGAAATTGGAAAATCCCTGAGGAGAGATATTAAATAAATTTAAAAAAGTTTTTTTTTGGGGGGGGGGACACCCTTTCAAAACACATTTTTATATCCACTTTTATATTATTTTCTTTACATTGGAATGCTGAGAATCATATTTATATCACTTTGAAAACTTGATTATCCAGGAGATGAAAAAATAACACAACAATCTGCCTTCTAGTTACAATGTTTGAAATTAAAAGGATTTTTTTTATTGAATAAGTTTGGAATTACTGTAAATTATTTGATATGGAGGAGACAATTACAATAAAAATTTCCACAACTTTTACTATTACTAAAAAAAAAAAAAAGAATGTCTTACTTGGTGTGAAGAAATAGATTTACCATTCTCAATTTCTTTTGGAGACCTAGACAAATCTAGATGAAGATCCAGTTCAGGAGACATCATGTTGCCATCAGATGCATTATTCTCAAAATTTAATCCATTACAAGATTCAAATGTTCCATCTAGATTGAGATAATTATATGTCATAGTTGAAAGAAACACGTAAGTGTTATTGAAACTAGTTTTAACACATTTTTAATAAATGGAATACTTAGCAGCTCACATTTTTTCGATTACAAGATTGTGCTCTCTTTGCACAATTGCATGTTGTTAGTTTTCCATTACTTTTTGCAAAGAATTTCTCTACATATATATTCAATGATTATTAAAGAATCCTCATATTTATAAAAAAAGAGATTTTATAAAAGTTTTGAAAATATTTTAAGAAAGCAAATATTGTTCTCACTTGTAGAATAATTACTACACCATGTTATAATTATAATGATCATGCCATTAATGTGAGTTTGTTAATAAATGTCTAAATACAATTTTTGAATTCATAACATTCTAATGAAATGAATTTAATGATAATCACCATCAACGTTGCAAGAGAAATATTTTGCTGCTGATAGTGTCCCTCCTGTTTTATAATTCCTGAACCAAAAGTCTTTTATTTTATCAAATGCCTCTTCGATTGTGGGATCATGTTCTCTGCCTTCCTCCTAAGAAGAGGGTTAAAAAAAGCATAACTGACTACAAAGCAGTTAAGAGAATATGTAATGATAACAATGAATGTAAGACATACCAGTAATTGTTGGTTTCTTGAGTTGTCATCAAAATCTATAAGATCCTGAAATCGCTTACAAAATGTTGCTGCTTGAAAAGGTTTATTAATAAATTTTACATGTGCTAACTGACGCTTTTTGAAACCTCTTATTACAACACCAGGAACATACAGTTTATTTATTTTCATCCATACGATGTCATCCCGATCAAATTTTTTCTCTGTTACAGAAAAAAAGAATCACTATTATTTCCAACTGGCCAAACAAAAATATACATCAGTTGGGGTATAAAAAAGTAAAATAAAGCATAAAAGAAAGTTCAAATAGCACTTAATATTTGAGAATTGCAACAAAAATCTTAAAAATGATAGTTTCAATCTGAACTCTCTCTCTTCTTTCTGACCAAATCAGAAATGGAACATGTTAAGTTAAATATTAGCAGTTCACAGTTAAAAACTATAAAATTAACAAAAAACATGGAAGTATGAAAAAGCAAAAAGGAAATTCATGTACCATCACTGAATTGAGAGAGGCCATTAATAAAAGGCATGAAAAGACTTTTGCTTACTATTACATGCAGGTTGTGGAAAACATGGTGTTGGCAAGTCATCATCATCGTCACTTGCAATGCACCCTTCGTCTTTTTGCAAACTAAGAGAGTCAGGTGTAGGAAGCGGACATGAGGAAGGACACACCTGGTCTTTTCTCCTGAAACAAACATTTCCCTCATAATACACACAAATCAGGATTCAAGACAAAAGACCAGGTCACCATAGATTGTCCATGTTCTAAATCTATTTTGTTGCAAGCTCCTTCACATATGCTATAAGCTTAACTCTTACTTCTTACCCCAACTCATTTCACTAATTAAAATTGATTAATAAATTATTGTTGGGACTATTTTTGGTACACAAGACTTAAAACACAGACATCTCGTTTCTCAGGTAAAGAACAAAATCTATTCACTTACAATAGAATTCATTTGTAATGCACTTTTATTACATGATTGGACTAAATTTTTCTTTGAAGATTACAAATAATACAAGATAGTGCATGGACATACCAGCAGAAAATGATAAACTCGTTAGGAATATAGCCATTCCAAATTATAGATACACTAAACACAGAATAACTAATGACACCCCAAATCCCTTACATGCACACATATTAAGCCATGTAGCTACACAGTCATGTTGCAATGATGATTATCGAAGTGACACAACACGGGGTAGATTCAAAACAATTACAGCACAATGTAACACAAAGTGTTTGCAACAGATTGCAATTTTGCACACATTAACAGTCTGTCCCTCTTGCATAAGTAGGCCAGGCCCACAAAAAAAAAAAAATAAAAAAAATGCAAGAGCAGTAGCAACCTAGCATAGGACAACATGTATAAAAAAATCCAGTGGGGTCAAAGGGAAAGAAATGTTTCATGCATTAACACTGGCCTAAGAAGCAACAACACTACTTTTAACTAAAATCAAGTGAAATGACACTTGCAGGGGTAGCCAATGACTAAATGGCTAAAATCACTTCAACTTTCATAATGTACATTAAAAATAATTTTAAACAGTCTTTTGAGACGTGTAAAATAAGTAACAAGAATTTTATATCATTTAAAAAGTAAAAATATATTCTGCATTACATACACTCCAATATGGTATACTACACAATCTAACTTTCAAGTACATAATTAAGAAAACTACATCCTTAAATGAAGTTGAGAAAGCAGAAGCATTTGCAACACATGTTCAATTTCAACACATAGCTTCACATAAAATTTCACACTTCACTTTCTGTATTCACTATACAAATCTTTCATAAAATACAGCTGAGTAAAGCAAATAGCATTGCACATTTTCAACATACTTTAAATCAATTATCTCATATTCAAAAATATATTTTCTCACATTCCACACAAACATACAGAGAATAACACGCCATTTAAAATAAAAACATAAAAATATCAAAGAAACTGGTGCCACATACACCATACACAGTAGGAATTCTAAACGTGTCATTCCTAATCTTTAAAACAAATGTCCACACAGTATTCATAATAATTCATCACCAACATGTTCACAATTAAAAGGACCTTTGTCTTCTGAACAGAAAAAATCACATTTAGAATAAAATCATTGTCTCTTTCACTCTAGTTGTTCTAACAATAAACTCTACATCCAAGTTTATGTAAACCATTTCATTTAAAACATATCAAATTCACTGTACAGTTTTAATCTACACTGGTCTTCTGTAAAGATGACACACCAATCCTATACTACAAGTCATCTTCAGTCTGACACCTTTCAGTAGATGAAAAAACCTCTTACACAATATCACCATAAAGAACTCGGACCCCTATTACCTTTCAGACTCATCAAGCTTCACTCTTTTGGAGTGCTCCAGATCATTGGCATCAGTTCCCTCCCCCTCCACATGTCTCTTAGTCCCTGGACCAGAGTCCAGAAGCAGAGGCATGGACTGGGCCAAGGTCACTGCACAGTCTGACACCTCAGTCGAAGAGTCACTAAATGATAGCACCTCATGCATTTGTGATGTACTCTCAGGAACTTGTGAGCAAGAAGTGTACCCAGTCTGATTAGATGTAGGTGGTGTCACACCTGATGCTCCATGAGCGTCCTCGTAGCTCACCACACTAGCTTCAGATGAGCTCTCTGGTACCTGGTAAGGAGTCAGCACACTAGAGTCCAAGGAGTGTTGAGATGAATCCAGGATGTCCATTGGAGAATCACCGACAACTCGAGTTTCTGACATGTGAGATGTGCTCTCCGGAACTTGCGAGTAATTCCCACTTGCCGATTGATTAGGGATAACTTCTTTCTCTTCCTGCAATTCGCAAGTGCTTTCTGGTGTCTGGGAATACGAAGGGAGGGAGAAAGTTCCAGAGGAATTGCCTTCCAACACTTCACCTGATACATTGGAGGTACTTTCTGGAGCAGGGGCATAAGGGTGTAAGGTACTGCTTTCTGATGGAAGTGTTTGAGTTACTTCTGTGACAGCTTCTCCGAGGCCATCTCTGAGCTGGGATGTACTTTCAACCTGCTCATACGGCACACATACTTCATCAGTGTGAGAGGTTTCTTGAGCTGAGGTCATATCTTTCATTGCTAAAGCTTCTGAAGAGTTCTCCACTGAGTAATTTGGCACAGGAGGTTCGTTGGTAGGAGGATTTGAAGAATCTATTACTTCTGTTCTCTCTTTTGGCACAGAGTCTTGAAGGCTTCTAGCATATGATGTAGAAACCGTTTGTTCAGATGCAGATTGTGTTTCTCCAATTTCTGGGGTTCCTTGTGCTTCTGATGCACTAACTTCAGAAGTACTTTCAGGTACTTCGTGATATGATGTAGATAGATCTTGATTTGTTAACTGTTGGTTTCCAGAGGATGTATCATAATTCAACGCATCATTAGGAGCCTCGTGCTCCTCAGTAGCATGTGAAGACACTTCTGGAACCTGTGCGTATGATGGGAGAACCAGTTGCTCAGTAGAGCTGGAAGTATTTGATGCAGCCATGCCTTCAGAATCCTGCTCTGTAGTAGTTTGAGCTGTACTGAATGAACTACCTGGCTGATGATCCAATATTTCAGCATCCGTGTTAGCTTCAGTAGTTACAGTTGTTTGAGAGTCTGAGACATCTTCAGAAAGTAAAGGCATAGAAGGCTGCAGCGTGGGTCTAGATGAAAGAACTGGGTGAGATGCAGTCTGAGACACTGAAGAGCTGGAAATGGGAGACTCTACAGCATCAGTTTCTGGAGCTTGCAAACTGCCTTGCTGGGGAAGGGTAGAATACGGAGACGTTGCAGGCATTGATAACACTGGTTGTGTAATAGTCAGAGGGAGCTCAAGAGATGTAGGTATTGGAGGAGCAGGTTGCTGCAAATTAGTAACTGATGATGGCACCTCTAATGGAGTCATAATAGGCTGATTCAAAGTTAGAGAAGTTTCCAGGACACCTGCTGGATTTGCTGGTGGCATTGCTGTTGCTGACAAAGAAGGTAAAAGGACAGTGGTTTGATGTAAAGTAGTGGAAGTAGATGATGGGAGAAGAGACGATGACTCCAGCAAACGGCTAGTCATGACAGAACCACTGGTAGACTGACTACTATTTACTACAGTTAACGAGTCAGACATAGAACCATCTGTCTGGAAGACATCAGTATTTGCCAGAGCTGCTGCAAGAATATCCTGACTGCCAGCAGGAGTAGTTGGCTGACTATCACCAATGTTAAACACAGCCTGGGAATGTTGCGTAGTTGCTATGTTACCACTAGCCACTGTATTAGCTTGCCCCAGATTGAGTAAAGTGCCTGATCCAGCAGTCCCAGTGTTGTTAATAGCCAGGAAAATATTATCCAGTTCTCCAGATGTACCCAAAGAAGAAGGATCAATGTACAATGTACGGGTATTACTTTCTGAACTTTGACTACTACCATCATATGAAGTGACAAGCCCAGAACTGTCATATGGTTGTATCGCACCTTGATCATCAATAGTGACCAGGACATAGGTGGGAGTTGCCCCGTCTGCCAACTGCTCTGAACCAGTTGGAGCGATAACTTGTGCAATATGTTCATGTGACAACAAAGGAGCAGAAGTTGCCACAGGCAATGATGCACTCTGTGATGTGCTCACATTCTGGTTTATTACAGTAGGAGCTGAAGAAAGCACCAAAGTATTAACTTGCAAATTTTGCTGCACATTGGGAGCACCGCTAATATCAGATTGCAGAGGCTGCAAACTAGGCAAAGCAATAGATTGAGCAGCTTCTGTAGACGATGTAGGCTTGATGGTAGTGGCTGTAGCTGGTTGCTGAATGGTGACTACTTTCTGCACCACTTGCCCTTGCTTTCCCTTCTGAAGCACTTGTGTTCGTGGCAGAGCTCCTTGCACTTTCTTCACTTGCTGCACCTGAGCTACTTGTGGTTGAACTCCAGCAATGGCTCCCACATTGGGCACTCTCACTGTGGAAGTGCCTCGTCCCTTCTGCACCAGCATACGAGGTTGCACCCCGGATCTAGCAGCCAACACTCTCTGCTGAGCCTGCCCTTGCAGCACTGAACCACGGCCTGCCGTGCTTACAACAACACGTTGCACGCTGGTTCCACTGGGGGATGCCGTGGCAACAATCTTGGAACGAGGAGAGCCTGATACTTGGCGCATTACAGTTTGTGGAACAGTAGACAATTTGGCAACAGAAGTGGTGACACCAGCCACACTTCCTGACACAGCTCGTGTCACTATAGCGCCTCCCACACTAGTGCCCTGTGTAGTCTGAATAAGAATAGTGTTAGGCTTTGATTTAGCAGAGGTTGCAGTGGTCACCAACTTCACACTCTGCCCTTGACCGACCATCTTCTGTACAGTGGGCAATACCACTTTAGTTGGGGTACTCTGCATGGTTAACTTGGTGCCTCCCACTTGCTTTCCACCAGTTAAGGCCTTCATTTGCTGAGGAGTAACATGCATCACTTTTGGTGTGCTTCTTCCCATTTGTTTCAAGATGGTTCCTTGGCTAGTAATAATTCGTTGGGACACAAGTTTACCCTGCTGCAATGAAGACAGGACTTCAGGAGAAACAGGTCCCCCTTGAGGCGATTTCACAATTACAAGCTTCTTGCCCACAGTTTGTGTACTACCCTGACCTTGTGATGCACCTGTTTTTACTGTAACACACTGCTGACCGGACTTTGCTGAAGATGTAGCATATATAGTCTGTTTGCCAGAAGCATGTTGAATTACTACATACCTACTGCCTGTTGTAGCACCTTTTGGAGCAATGATAGAACCGTCAGAGGTTCTCAGTGTTCCTGAAGGGCCAGGATGTATTTTAACTGATTTTACTACTTGTTTGACAATTTTAGGAGCAGAGTTGGCAGTTGTAGTTTGTGCACTTGATTTCACTACGCTTGTACTTGCTTCAGTAACCAATTCCAATGTTGGTGTGACATTTAAAGTGACAGTACTAGATGCACTTGGAGTTGAGCTAGCAGTTGACGTTAATCGCATTACAGGCTGTATTGTAGGCTTTTCTGGAACAACAGGAGGTGGTAATGTTATTGCCACAGAATTAGCAGGTACAATTGTATTTATAGCAAGTTTTGTAGTTGAATCTTCAGTAATCAAAGTATCTCCCATTACAACAGGCATTGAATTGATATCAAGATCCATTTCATCCAGAGACATCTGCACTGGTTCCTGACCAACTGAAAGTTGAACAGGCTCTTGCGAAACAGATATTGGGGTTGTATCATGCATTGGAGATATCTGTGCTGTTTCTTGAGGAAGAGTCATGTTTGTTTGTTCTTCTGCAACAGCTAACTGGGCTGGTGGTTGTTCTGGAGAAATTTGAGTTGATTCTGGAATAAGAGGTACCTGAGCAGGTTCTTGAATACATGTTTCTACTGGCATTTCAGGAGGTGGTGGATGATGAGATTCATTAACAGATTCTGTTTCAGCCACATTTTCGGGAGTTGATTGCGTAAATTCTGAAGAAATATCAACAGATGGCTCAGTTGTCACCACAGTTTCATTAGGTACTTCTGATGGAAGTTGAAGAGGCAATTCAACTGATTGGGTCGTTGATTGTTCCTCAGGAGCGGATGGCAGTAGATCTATTGGATGATCAACAGACATTTCCATTTGGGATTCAATAGGAACATTATCATTGCTTTCCTTAGGTGTATCACCAGGGATTTCAGCTGCCAATTCAGTTTGAGGTTCTGCTGTTATTTCTAAGGTTGAATCTTGCGAGAATTGTATTGATGTTTCAGGAGGATGCTGAGCAGTAGTGTTTGATGGTGGCTCAACATCATCAGTATCTTTCAAATGGGGTAGTGACTCATCATCTCCCATCTCATCATGTACTATAGTTTCTGATTTTTCGTTTTTCACATCTTCTAGCTCAGGAGATGTTATTACTTCCCTTTGCTGCTCTTTAATTTTAATTGTGGGAACTGCAGGAAGAGATGGCAATTCTGTTTCAGCCATTAAATTCTCAAATTCTGTACTTAAATCCTTTTTCTCCTCATTATCATAATCTTCAGATTCAGTTGATGGAGCAGTCTTCAAAGGTGATATTTCTTTCAATTTTGGAACGTCTGCAGAGACTTCATTTCTTTTTTCTAAGTCCACTTTATCATCTAGCCTTCTTGGAAATTTTCTCGCTTCAGCAAATTTCTTGGCCCGCTCTTCTAATTCATGATCCAACAATGAATCAGCTTGTTCATCAAAATCAAAGCATGAAATTTCTTTTGGTTTAACATTTGAACTAGAAGATACTTTATTTGTACTATAATTTGTTCCTTCTGAACTGCGCTCTGGGGGTGGTGAAGATAATGCTTCACTTTTGCTGAGCTCTCGTTTGAGAATTAACATTTCTTTCTCTTCTTCCTCTTGATCTTCATCTTCCCATTCTGCCAGTAACTTTTCTCGAAAATCTTCACTGCTTTTTTTCTTTTTGGTACCCTTGTCTCCAGAAGCTTTTGCATTTTTTCTTTTCCCAAAAATTGGTGTTTTGAGACCTTTCTTTTCAGATGTTGTTACAACATCTTTCACAGTATTATCTTCAGCATTTACATCCAAAGCTGATGTACCCTTGGGCGAATTGGTCTCCATAGTGTCTGACGAGTTGAGAGGCACAACCTTTGGACTGTTCTTTGGGGTCCTACCAATACTGCCTGAATGGCTTCCTCGAGGTCGACCTCTCCCACGATGTGGGGTAGACAAAATAGTTGCACTTTTGCTGCGAATGTGTTTCGGTTCCTGGCCATTGGTAGCACCATCACCACTATGACTCTTGGAATGCAAAATTACAACATTCAGTCTCTTTGAAGTAAAGTCACACTTGTAGCATTTGTACGGCTCATTTTGAGGGGATGGTTCACGCTGTGGTGTAAGTGGTTGTTGCCGTATCCGTACATCATGTTGTTCTTCCTCTCCTTTCAACATACGAATTATGCGAGGATGGGTAATGGGTCGACGAGGGGAACTGAAAGGAGTTTTAGGAGTGCTTGGAGAAGCAATTTTGCTTCTCCAAGAAGGGCTTCCTTTCGTTGGAGAGCTACTGCCCATCTTCCCTTTCTTGTCAGGTTTCTTCTCGCTACCGAAGATTCCTCGGTAGCTGGGTTTTTCTTCTGGGGCAAACGCATTATCAGTTACAATGTCAGGATTACCACCAGTCAGTTGCTCTGCCATAGAAACATCATTAGGAAACTTGTCCATAAAAGATGACCCCTCCCTTTGCTTGGCACGATACATGTCTAGAAAGAAGACAAGCAATCATTCAAACATGTGTAAATTGATACAATACCATTAAAGATTGTTTTAATTTATTCATTAAAATACGTTTGATAACAACACAGAACATACCCAGTCCCTTTTTAATAAAATCTGTTTTCCTTCGGCAATTGTAACGGCAGATTTGATCCAAATTTTTAACATATTCACTGTAAGGAGATCAAAATAATTAACAGACAAACTTTTGTACAGAAAACAAATGTCTTAAGTATATTGTATTGGCAAGATATTCTGATGTTTAAATCAATCAAAACTCAATTAAGATATACTTGTATATATAGTCACATTAACTACTTCATAATTTTTGCCATAATCAATTACTTATATGATTATTTTTACCAGTTAAAATAAAATCTCTGGCATTATTTTTCAGTAAATGTAAAAAGCTAGACATAAGTACACATATAAAAGGCAAAATGAGGAAAGTAAAAAGTGATGTCATTCATATAAAATGGAATGACTAAATCATAATCTCTTGTCATACAATGGGCAATAAAGTAATAAATGTTTTACTATTGTAAATCAAAAATTGACTGGAATGAACCATTTTAACAAGCCCAAAGGTAAAGAAAGTCGTGAGTGTGACCTATTCTCATGGAATTAGTTAAGCTGAGTAGAGCATTGAGGGAAATGTAGGGAACGAGGGGTGGGGGGTGTTATAGGAAGGGAAAGAAAGACTATGAAATAAGAAATGGAAGAATCTACAGATAATTAAAGATATTGTAGTCTACATCAATCTTGTTTTGAGAGGTGACATTGAATCACAATTTTGTACCTATGATGCGAAAATACAAGTTTCATGACACAGTAAGAATAATAACAAACAAAATATTATCATAGTTGATGTTTTAATAAATACAACATCTTCATAAAGTTTTCATTGCCTTATCAAGCCAACCTTTCAGACAATCAGCATTACTTTGTTTCATTAAAATAAAAACATATTTACTAAAACAGTTACAGATAGCTTGCAATTATTAAACATAAAGAAAATAAGTTTCAACACTCACTATTTGTCTTCATTAAAAAACTGTACAGCAGCAATTGGTTTTTTTCGAAAACTTTCTAAAATGTCATCTGGTAATTTGTCCACGTCTCTTACTCTGCCAGGCCACCAGCAAGCACCCAACTTCACCCAAACAACATCCCCTTCCAGGTAATGAACTTCCGTTTGCTCACACATTATATGCAGCACTCTAAGACAAAC